TAAATATGATTAAGGGTGAATACGATTAAAGGGAAATGAGTATGTTTGGTTGAAAGTAATATGCATGCTATAGAATATATATTATGAGATATATATATTATAGGGTAAATATGAATGATGAGAAACAAGTATGTTTGGAATGAAAGTAATATGCATGCTATAGATTATATATTATGGGATATATATACTATAGGGTGAATATGAATGATGAGAAATGAGTATGTTTGGATGAAAGGAATATGCATGCTATAGAATATATATTATGGGATATATATACTATAGGGTGAATATGAGTAACATGGAAATGGAAGGAAGGAGATACAAATGTTTATATTTATGTGTTTGTGATGATAATTTATTCCAATGCTTATTTATATTTAAAATGTGGATTATCATGTAATGTTAGTCTTGAACTAATGACTTACTCCTTTGTTTTGTGTGTTGTTTATGATAATCCCATTATAGGTAAACGAAGGATTTGAGGAGAAGGTTCACTTAGGAATTTTATGCGTTTCATAACTTGGATTTCTTTATCTCTACTTTTGTATTATAGTTGACTAGACACTATTTTTGGGATAAATGTAATTCTGAGTATGGTAACACTGGATATGTGTAGTTATGGGCATTATGATTCTTGAAAACCCATAACTAGATGTATGCGGTAGTCACTGAGGATTAATTGAATGAATTATGTTTTTCTGTAATATGAAATGTATGGTAATATAACATGTTAAAAAGTGGTTTTACGGAATGATTAATGAGGGATTAAAGTAAGATGAGGAATGTACACATGAAAGGATTAAAATAAAGGAAAAAATTTCAAGGGTAGAATTTGGGTCCTTACAATATGGTATTAGAGCATAGTTAATTATGCGGCCTAGGGTATGGCCTTACTTGCTTCTCTATAACATATTTATGATTTGACTAGTTGAGATTGTGTGAATTGAATGTTTAAAGCATGTAGCCTTGGTGTAGGGACATGTAATGTGTTATGAGACTATGTGATAACCTGACTTATGTGAGTTAAATTTGTGTGCTGACTATCAATGAGTGCGGGTTAAGACATGGCTGGAAGAGGAAGAGGAAGAGAAACGAGTCAGAACGTTCCAAATGATTTGTTGTCTCAGATGGTGGCTGCATTGCAACATATGAACGAGAACTTGCATAATCTGAATCAGAACCCTGCACCAAGTCTGAGTTCGCAACCCCTAGTCCCACCCGGACCCGCAGAGTACCGAGGTCTGGATGAGTTTTGTAGGAGGAACCCCAATTAGTTCCATGGCGGATTTGCTCCTGATGCTGCCATTGAGTGGATTTAGGGAACGGAGCGGATCTTCCAGGCCATGAAATGTTCGGAGGCTTAGAAGTTGGCTTATGCCACTTATATGCTAGTGAAGGAGGCCGAGAACTGATGAGAGTTTACTAGACGACAAATGGAGGCGGAGGTACAATTGATTTCCTAGGGTACATTCAAGGCGAAATTCCTTTATAAATACTTCCTTGCTGATCTGAAGAGGAAGAAGGGAATGGAGTTCTTGAAGTTGGAACAGGGAAACATGTCGGTGGGGGAATATGCGGCTAAATTCGAGGAATAGGCCTGGTTTTGTCCCTACTCTGAGTTGGAAGTAGACGGACGGTCCAAGTGCTCTAAATTTGAATCGGGCTTAAGTCCCAAGCTGAAAAGGATGTTCGGACATCAGGAGATTGTTGATTTTGCTACTTTGGTCAACAAGTGCAGGATGTACGATGATAACCTGAAGGCGGATGAGGTGGCGACACCCAAATCAATTTCCCCCTGGAACTATGGACCTCAACGCAACCATATGCAGGGGAGAGGTAAAGAGAAAGTGGAGGATTATCGATAACCTTATGCGGCACCTACTGGACATCGTGACAGAAATTTTCATGGGTCGAGACCACCTACCATTCCTACCGGAGGGGTTTCTACTCCCACGTGCAACAAATGTGGCAGACTCCATTATGGGAGCACTTGCCCGGGATCGGGAAATGGATGTTTCCACTACAAGGAGTTGGGGCACATTAAAAGATTTTATCCCAAGCTAGATCAGGGACTTAATGTCATTCATGTTGAGAGGGCAAGGGAACATGGTCGAGTGGATACCCCTAGTGGCGTAGGGACATCAGGTGTTGATGATCCAGTTAAAGGTAATTGCATGGTGGCTGGTATTCCTCTTTTAGTGTTGTTTGATTCAGGAGCGAAACACTCCTCATATTTGTTGAATGTGTGAACCGACTGAGATTGTACACGGAGTCGTTGTTTTCGACTTGGGTGTGTCCACCCCACCTAGTGTACCGGTGGTGGGTATCGATACTGGTGTCTCAGTGTACGGTTGGGGTAAATGGTAGAACCTTTACCATAGTTTTGATAAGCTTAATGATGTCCCAGCTAGATTTAATCCTGGCGATGGACTGCCGATCAACAAATCGTGTTATGATTAATTATGTGATAATTGTTGATGTGAAATATTCTTGTGGAGTA